CAACTCAAATCATCGTACCTGAATCAACTCAATTCAACTTAACGCTACTACAACTCGCGTTATATCGCTGGCAGTAGTTGTCTCTTCTTCGACATCACCCTCTCAAACGAACCCTATCAATATTCGCTACAGGATTACCCAAATTATATGGGTTAATGAAATCTTTTAAAATTAAAGCAATGAAGAGGATATATGCTAACAATGGACAGCAAAACACAAAGACATCTCAGTATCTACGCCATGAACGATGATATCCATTGTACTTACACAATGGACAATGTCAAAGGCTAACCATACCTCCATGATAACCCCGATCGAATTTATAAAACTTCTCCCTAATCATTATATATATCAGGAAAAATCCGAAACAGTTTAATTTTTACAACCAAACATACAATACGTCCTCTTCGCATTTCCTCCATGACTAAACCACAAACAATGACATCTTTGCATATCCGCCACCACTGGACAACAAACTACAATATTCTTTTTGTTCGCTAAATACATTTCCTGTAGCATATTCCCTACTCAACGACCTATCAACTAACCGATAGTCACATTATTGTCCAAGACAACGACAAGGAACTTGTTTTTGTATAACTCATCACTGCTTACCAATTTATCATGTAATATATATATATATTTTATACCCTTCTTCTTGTTAACTAGTAATATTATGCAAGAACAGTATTACATCCCAAATAAATCTAGATCGCTAAAAAAAAAATTCAACAGATTAGCTTTCTCGACACCACTATCTGAACAGGAGAGTTAGACCAAAGCGTCGAATGAGCCATTTAGCCTCTTCAACAAAAGTGTGCTGCGATTAGATCCAACAGCTTACGCCACCCATGCCTTAAAAATTTCCTACTAAACGACAATCTCAATCGAATTCCTATCAAATTTCCCTATAACGATAAAAAACAACCCGGTGATTAACTCAATAGCAGTATCCAGTGATAATTGTCTTATCACAATTCCACTATGCCAACAACCATCAAAAAAACTTTCAAAATAAACCTAAAGAGAAAAAAAGCAAAAAAGATGAAATATAACGTGATAATGTTAAAAATGTATTTTATTTTACGATTATTCATTTACGTACATGGAATACAAACATAAAAGTAAATTACTAATTATTCAAAAATTTAGGATCAAATCTAACATAAGTAATTGTATTCATATAATTTATGATTATGATTTGAAGTCCATTGATTACCAATCGTGAAAGAGATCGATTTCGTCTTGAGATGGTACCTAAAAATTGGTATTTCGTGAATGAGCGTGAAATATTATCAGTAACATTTATTATCATTTATCATACGTTTACCTAAAATTATTGATTTGTTCCTCTCATTAAAATTTTTCTTTTTATGATAATAAATGTTAAAGAATATATTATTTCATTATGTAGAGGAAAAATATAATTAAAAGTTTACTAATAGTATTATTTAAATGCTTTCTAATTATATATTAATGCGTCTGTCTTATAACGCAATACTTTTCATAAGCAATTTTTTTTTGCATTTGAAAAATCTTTGTTTCACAAAATCATAATTGAAACCATTTGTATTTTATGGATAAGCTTTAAAAAAATCATACTAGTTATTAGTTTTTATTCAAGTTTTATTTTCTTGGGAGTTAGGAATGGCTGAACCTTAGAATGCCAAGTCAATTTCAATTCTTTAATTACTGATTTATTTCTCCCATTAAAGTTTTTCTTTTCATGATAATAAATGTTTGCATATTATAATGTATTCTCTAACAATAAAATGAATTTTTGATTTTCTCAACTTCACAGAGAGTAAAGCATTTAATACAGATATGGAAGCTACGTTGGAAATTTAGTTTTTATTTAAATGTATCTAAAAAGAAAATGAGAAAAAGTGAATGCTGAAGGACTAAATAAGATTAAAATACCAAAAATCATATATTGATTAATTTCAGATCAAAAAAAAAAGTATGAAAATTTTCCATTCCAATATAAAAATGAAATTACGAGTGAAATTATAAATTTATGCTTAAATATGTTTAAATTCAAGTTATAATTGGTAAAGAGACGTTTGAAGATTTCTTTTTTTTTAATTTTATTTTTTACCATTTGTTCCTCAGTACTTTCTTCATCGTAATCATCAAAATTGCTTGTATCACCAGTTGATTTCAATTTTGGAATAATTGGTGGCTGAAAAAAATTTTCATTCAAAAATTTTATTTTCAAAGAAATTTCTTTTAGTAATTAAAGTCAATTGTTAATTAGTTAAGGTTAATTATCTGTCTCGAAATATTTTTATTGTATTATTCATCAGTATTATTCAAGTAGTATTTTCAAATGCCACTCATGATTAATTAATAATTTGGTATTGCATAATCTACCTACTATAATTTCTTCATTATTTTCAATCAATTAATTAAACCATTGTCACGGTATATTAAAAGAATATTGTAATTAAATTTGTAAGAATTGTCAAATTTATCATAAATTATATTGTTTTAACGAAATATATTACTGTTATTTTCATATTGATAATATCATCCCATATTATATCATTAAACCATTTGTGATTTTTGATATCATCAACACCATTTACCAAATTACCAAACCTTCTGATAGGATTTAATTGAAGTAGCTTCTTTATTAAATCTCTGAAAACACCAAAAAAAGAAGCATTATGAAATTTAAGAAATTAAAGTAAATTTCCAAAAATGATTAGAAGATGTCATGAAATTGTCACATTTAATAGCAATATTTATAGGAAAATTTTTTAAGTATAAAATTATTCTCTGTTGTGGAAAAATTCACTTATTACATACCATTATAATATATTTTAAACATTAAATGATGAGATTTTTATAATTGTTACGTGAGTATCTGATGGAATGTTAAATAGAAATCAATCAAATAATTTCAATTTGTCAAAAAATTTCATGACCGAAGTTTCAAAGTTGAAATTAATTTGATATAAAAACAATGAATTAACATGATATTTTACTTGGTAAAAAAATTTATATTTTCCGGGAAATATATTCGATTGGTCATAATTTCTGCATAGATATCCATTAATGTATCACCCTCAAATGGTGGTCGTCCAGCAAGCATCTCATAAATTAGAATACCCAATGACCACCAATCGACAGCTTTATTGTAACCATTACCATCTATCACTTCTGGTGCCAAATATTCCGGTGTACCACATAATGTATTAGTCCTATATCATATTCCTAATTAAATAGTACTTAATTTCAAAAGTTTGAAACTATTCGATCAATGGAAATTTCGCGAGTTTAATTTTTAAATTTGAAACTAAATGAAGTAAGTTTAAACTCGAACTTAGTTTTCTCCTGAAATTTGCTTTCACATCTTTTGCTTATTTGTAAAGCCATTAGTTATGCCAATTCGGATTCTAGTTTTTCACCTCCTTTTCAAGCTAAACATCATCAGATATTAAAGATTAGGAATTTAAAGGACCAACATATCGTTGACAATTTTAGCAAATCCAAAATCGGTTAATTTCAAATGGCCAATCTCTGTTAACATTAAATTTTCCGGTTTTAAATCACGATAAACCTGAAATATAAATCAATTTGGAATAGAATATTAGTGGAGAATTTTTTCTGTTAGATTACATAAAC